CTCTTTACATCTTCTCCAAAAGGATATGACAGTCTCCACCGATGAGACCTAAACAGACAGACTGCCATACCAGACAGTTGGTCCAGCTTACCTACTGGGGTTTTGTATTTGATTCAAATTACTGATTCTTGCCACAGTGAGTTGCTGACTTACAGAATGTATGGACTTAACACACAGAATCCCATTTTCATTTCTGGTGTTTCTACTACAAGTTTTAATACTGACCATTGACTACAGACACACTCAGCAGCAGCAAGAGCAAGTTTCTTGGAAATAGCACTACTGATTGTCTTCGTGATGCAGTTTACCAGAGCTCTCTTCTGTAGCTCAGGTTTGGCAGCGCCTCCATCTGTCCGGCTGATACTGCATGAATCCCACAAGAAACGCTTGAACACAGTTTTGTATGCCATCAACTAGCCTTTACACTTACGCCGGCTTGACGACAAGTATGTCCAGTGGTTTACAGGGGTCAGAGAGAAAGGCGTCATGTACCCCCCACCTGGCATACAACGCGTTTCTACCTCTACAGTGAAAGTGCTGACAAATTACACTATATGCCAGCAGACAAGAAGGAGCCAGGCCATTTCTGCCGCAAAGCAAGAACTCACCCTTGTCTTGGCACATCAGTCACTGACTCACAGCGTTTGCCCTGCATCACCTCAGCAAACAGCACTCAGAGAAAACTACAGGCACTAGATCTGCTCAGCTTGGTTAATATTTCTTTTTAGTCTGTGTCTAGTATTCTGCTACAAAGAACTTTAGCCCAGGATTCCCATCAGCCCACGGGAGAGCGGTGCCTGCTTCCCTTCCCCTCTCACCACAGAGCATTCGCCAGCAAAGTGAAATACTGACGGGGGAAACAGTCAGAGGGGGTAGTACTGCCGGCAAAAGAAATCTGGAAGGAGTTACTGAAAAATTATGAACACAACTGCAGTCACCGTCACTACTAGAAAAAAAGGTAAATATCATACAGGGGCGTATCATGAAGTAAACTTTTCCCATATACTCTGGATTATTAATGCTTCATCCAGATCACTGTATACAGCTTTGGTCCTGAAAGAAGGGGCAGGGGGAAGATGTGGATTAATGAGAGAGAGTCAAAAGGAATGAAAAATAGTAAAGAAAATGTAGCTCCCATCAACTTACCCTTGCTACCCAACTTTCAAGTCCTAATCCCAAACCAGTTGTTATATCATTAGCCTGTGCCAGAAAACATAAAAATCTGCTTGCTAGGTCAAGTTCAGAGCATACAAACCAGGCAGAAATGCTTTTATTAGACTGATTTTTAAAGCAGAGTTGAAGAGCCTCCTATTAACACTTGCTTCCACAGATTTCCAACTAGCTGTCCCACCTGAGCATGTTATTGTGTATAAGGGGTGGTTATATAGCATGGCTTAAGGCTAACAGGAAAGCTTTAGCATAATTTCTTTGCTGTACAACCTCTTTGCCTAGGGCATATCTGGACACTGAAACTGTAAAATCACATTGCAAGTGACCCTCAAAATTACACTGCAATTAAAGAATGGAGTCAGTAAACAAGGCACTCATACCATCAACTTCATTCACCAGGGAAAAGATGTGCTACTAGAAGTGCCATCTCCTGGGAAGAATCTGCTAATAGGACTGAAATGCAAAGCGATTTGAAACTGTTTAGATAGCCAGACTGGTTACAGATACAGCGATAGAAAGGACACTAGCATTCAACCAAAAATGGCAAGCCTGGATGCAGAAGTTGATTATGGCAATTTGTACTTGTGGAAATGCATGAAATGCTGAGCACCCTCTGACCAGATAAAAATCAGCAGTAGAAGCTCGGGAGGCAAGGCCTTTCCTTTCCCCCCTCCACATGTTAACCCAGTAGCATACTGTATGTACCGAGAGGCTCAGACACAATCTATATGTTTTGTGTAATTAAAGATTTAGGCGGTTTTCAGTACTACAGAACCATCCAAGAAAGGCAAAGTCCCTTTTCCAGGCATTTCAATGACACCAAAAATAACATTACTTTGGAAAACGCATACTAAGTGCAGTACACAGCACATTAAGGCTATTGTATTTCCTGCCTCGTTTTGCTATTACACTAACACCATCCTTTTCATTCACACACATTGAGCATTCCCTTCCTGCAGGCATT